CGACAGTTCCTGTCGGTTCCGTCATCGAGCCCCTCGGCCCGCGCACCCCCTTTCCCCTCCTCTCGGGGTAGTAAACACACTTTAGGAACGTGAGGGCGGCTAGTCAGGTGGGGTGGTAGCAGCCAATAGGGGGGCGGGGCGGGGCTTAACGATTCCGTCGGCTCCGGAGTCCGGTGCAGTCTCAGGGCGAGCGGCGAGGAAGCCACAGCCGCTTGGAGCGAGACATCCCGCGCGCCGCTAACCGTCACCTGTGGCTGCGCGCGGCCTCTCGGCGTGGGCGCGAGACCCCTGGCGCGAAGGTTTCGGGGTGATGTGTCCCCCTCAGACGGCCGGTCCCGCTGACGCCTCCGCGGGGTCCTAGCGCCAACGGACGATCGCCAAGCAGAGGGAGCGACCCGGCGGCAGCTTCACCGCTCAGTGTCACACCCGCTGCCCCGGCACGGCGCGGCCGGGGTGCGCACCGCTTTAGGGCTGCACGGGAGAGACGAAGCCGAGTCCGGCATGAGCCGCGGCGGCTCTTCCTGAGCCCGGCGCTCCGCGAGGGATCGCGCCCCCGGCCATGGGGGTGAACGCCGTGCACTGGTTCCGCAAGGGGCTGCGGCTCCACGACAACCCGGCGCTGCGGGAGTGCATCCAGGGCGCCGACAGCGTGCGCTGCGTCTACATCCTCGACCCCTGGTTCGCGGGCTCCTCCAACGTGGGCATCAACAGGTGGCGGTGAGTGAGCGGGCCGGGCCCGGCCGGCCGCGCGTAAACCTCGGGTTACATATGCGGTCACGCTGCTCTCCTCCATCGCTCTAATTGGCCCTGCTGCAGCCTCAGCGCCGCGGTCCCTGCCTCGCCGCGGCTCTGGCAGCCGCGAACCATCCCCAGCCTGCGCGGCGGGCCTGCTGTGCCAGCCCCAGCAACCCCGCTCCCCGCCTCCTGAGTGCTCCCAGCTGTGCTGTCATCCGGCTGCTGGGCGGCCCGCAGCCAAGGCACGGGGCTGAACGTCCCGGAGCGGTAACGTTCAGCGCCCAGAGTGCCAGGAGCTTTCCCCCGTCAAAAGAAAAGGGCCAAATAAGGGAGTCCCCGCCACCCTGGCAGCACTCATGCTAGTCCCTGGCTTTTAATCCACTCTGTTGTGTAATCATGATTCAAGGAGATCTAGATGATTTAAGCAAAATACTAGTGATTGCAGCCACTGTGACTTCCAGTAGAGGGGTATTGCTGGTAGCAGTGGCTGGAAACCGTAGGGAAAGAAACTAGTGTATGCGAGTCCAAAGAGCTTACCTTCTAAATCCTAGAAATGTAGGGCTGGAAGGGACCTTGAGAGGTCATCTAATCTAGCCACCTGTGCTGTGGCAGGACCAAGAAAACCTAGACCATCCCTGGCAGCAGGTGTTTGTCCAACCTTTTCTTAAAAACCTCCAGTGATGGGGATTTCACAACCTCCCTTGGAAGCCTATTCCAGAGCATAACTATCCTTATAGTTAGAAAGGTTTTTGTAATATGTAACCTAAATCTCCCTTGCTGAAGATAAAGCTGATTATTGCTTGTCCTATGTTCAGTGGACATAGAGATCAGTTGATCACCGTCCTTTTTATAACAGCAGCTCTTAACCTATTTGAGGACGGTCAGGTCCCCATTAGTTCTTTTTTTTTTTTTTTCTGAAGACTAAACATGAACAATTTTTTATAGCTATGAGAAGAAAAGTTTAGAAAAACTAACATCAACTTTTGTTCTGGACTTTTTCCAATTTGTTCATAAATTTGACTCCCAGACCTGGATGCAGTGCTTCAGCTAAGGCCTCACTGGTGCTCAGTAGAGTGGGTCAGTTATCTCCCATAAATACCTGAGCTAAGATTATTTTGAGACAAAAAAATGCATTGACACCAGGTATTGAATTCATGAAAGGACTTTTTAATATTTTTGACACACTGCTTAACAGATTTATATGTAAATTCTCAGAAAATCCATTCAATCCTGAAAAGTATAAGTGATGTCATTTTCTGGAAGATGCAAATTTAACCAACTTCATACCAAACAATGGCTACATCTTCACACTTGTGGGGTAGCACTCATCTGAGCTAGCATGCTAAAAAGAGTAGTGTA